TTTTAACTGAATAAAAGTACAGTTATTAGCATGTTATCTTTAATAATTCGATAATTAACCTGGACATCTTACAGTCTTTCTATGTCATTAAATCTACAGGAGAAGAAAAAGCATATAGATGCATATGTATGTATACATATATACATGCACATACATATATATGTTGTTTTTAATCTGACAGCTTACATAAACAAAGACAAAATATTGTTCACTGTTCTATAAGCATTTTGGCTGATGCTTTTACTACTTCAATTTTATTTTGACAGTTTTTGTTAATTTCAGGATAATAAGAATTTTTATATCTTCAGGTGTTAACAAGTTAATAAACTATGATATAATACAACTATGTTTTATTCTGCAATTATTATGTAAATGAAGTATTACTGACTTGTAACAGAATAAAGAATAATATAGCTCTTAATAGAAACTCAATACAAACACGTTTGTAGATATTTAATCAAAACAGAATTGCTTTAAAATATTGTTGTATTTATGAGCAAGAAATTTTCTTAGAACAATTATTGATGTACTATTTTCTATGTTCAAATCCATTTACCATACAAACAATTATCTTATCTGTTATTATATTGAAATAGAAAGGAAAACACACATACACACACACGCACTCTTTTACATTTTCTATAATGGAAAACTCTCCTTTCATCAAATGTTGTATACAGAGTACTTTATTTTACTTAATTTGTTTTCATATTTCTTACAAAATTATCGTACAGAAAAAGTGACCAAGTGGGAAAAGTTTGAATATTTTGCAAAATGAGAATTAACGACATCACTTAATTGATTTAACCTTACAATGTATAATTTAGATCAGCTTGTTAGATGGTTTTGTCATTTAAAATTCATGTATTGGAAGCCATCAGCACTTCTCTGTAGCTTATTTTAACAGATGGAGATCCTCTACAGATATCCTTGGCTGTAGTAGATGGAAGCTATTTAACTTTATGGAAAACATTTTGTAAATAAATTATGTTGTCTTTATATAACTTCAGTAACAGCTCTTTTCATATGCCATGTATCATTTCTATTTCTGAAACAATATTACTACCTTCATGTGAAGACTGTTTTCTGGGTTATCTGTAGGATCTTTTGGGGAAAACACAGACATTGAAAGCAAATTACCATTAAAGAGGGAGAGTGCAAAAAAGTTAGGGTTCTTAGACAAGTTATCTATCCAACCACTCTTAATAATATAGCCTTGCTCCTTTATTTCTAAAAGTGAGAAAATGCTATACAGTCGTAATGAGAGTTAAGTGGGAATACACATGCAACTCACTTTCTATAGTACATGACACACAGTGATTTATTAGTCCATATCCTCATCACATCATCATATCAAATTGGCAGTGATATCTGGTATGTGATATCTCAGAAACTATATATTTTACAACAACAATAAAATAGGAAACTACACATGCATGATACAAATGCCTATGCCATTTACATTTTTTCCATCTCAAACTAAGAGGTCACATACAGAAAGCCAAAATGCTTTACGATTAGTACTTTTTTTTTTTTTTTTTGAGACGGAGTCTCTCTGTCACCCAGACTGGAGTGCAGTGGCACGATCTAGGCTCACTGCAAGCTCCGCCTCCCGGGTTCAGGTCATTCTCCTGCCTCAGCCTCCCGAGTAGCTGGGACTACAGGCGCTGCCACCACACCCAGCTAATTGTTGTATTTTTAGTAGAGACGGGGTTTCACCATGTAAGCCAGGATGGTCTCGGTCTCCTGACCTTGTGATCCGCCCGCCTTGACCTCCCACAGCGCTGGGATTACAGACGTGAGCCACCGCGCCTGGCCACGATTAGTAAATTTTAAGAAATTTATCTGTGTTGCTTAAGCAATTAAAAGAGTATCTCATAAAGGTCACCTGGAGAAAGTTTTTTTTGTTTTTTTTGTTTTTGTTTTTTTTTTTTAGCATGAATGTTGAACAATCATGAACAAATATAGTTAGTTGTGGGAAATTCTTTCTTATGTACGTATAGAATATAATGGAATATATTTTATTGACTTCCACATTGAAAAGGCTATTATTTCAGTTTGTAATTCTATATCACACTTGATGGTTAAGTGTGCCACATGAGAAATATTCCTGAAAAAAGAGCATTGACTTTTAAAGAATTGGCTTTTCTCTTTTTAGATGTTTTGCTCTGTCTTTTCCTCTAACGGATGTAATTCAAAATGACAGTGTAGTAAAAATGTCTTAACACAAAAACATGTAAAATTTCAGGGAGATGAATTTCTTTTTCATTCAAAATGTGAAAACCTCTTCTTTTTCCTGGTTCAAAATATACCCCACCTGTTAGAGTTTCAGACAATAAACAATCCAAGTGTTCATGTAATATAAGCAGAAAATAATTTGATCACAGTGATCTCTTTGATAGATTTCTTCTGCCCTCTCATTTCCCTGTTTATGAGTGGTGACAACATATGCCATGATTTTTTTGCAAATGTGCTCTAAGATTTTAGAATGACAGAGAAAGAAAACTAATAATTTTTATTTTAATATGATGTTAAACTGGAAGGAATTTGAACTTCTGATTTTTTGTTAAATCAGTTAATTTTGTTGATCTTCAGCAAGGTATTCTTTATAGGCCTCAGTTGCTTAACAGTAGTAGGTGAAAAATAGTGATCTTAGAGTATTGATGTGAAAAGGTAATCAAGATAGTAATGATAAAGTTCTTGACGCATATGTAAATGTTTTAAAAGTTCCAATGCCAGCCAGGTGCGGTGGCCTACGCCTGTAATCCCAGCACTTTGGGAGGCCAAGGTAGATGGATCACCTGACGTCAGGAGTTCAAGACCAGCCTGACATGGTGAAACCCCGTCTCTACTAAAAATACAAAAATTAGCTGGGCGTAGTGGCAGAGCCCTGTAACCCCAGCTACTTGGGAGGTTGAGACAGGAGAATCACTGGAACCTGGGAGGCGGAGGTTGCAGTGAGCCAAGATCACACCATTGCACTCCAGCCTGGGCCACAGAGTACTCCATCTCAAAAAAAAAAAAAAAAAAAAAAAAATTCCAATGACCTTATCCTCCACATTTTTTGCAAGTACATCTCACAGACTTTCCCTTAGACCTGTAGATTCAACCTTGAATAAATGTCATGCAGGACTACTACTTTATTCAGACACTCTTTCATTCGTTAAGATCTGAAAATGACCATCTTGTTTCAGTGGGAGTAAAGGACTCCATCTTGGTTTCCTAAGCATACTCTGGCTTCTTTGCCATTGAGCCATTGTCATCATGCCCCTTTGCCCAGTCTCTTTGTCAGGGCCTCCAGTCCAACTTCTACAAACCAGCCTTCATCCATACCCACAAAGATTACATTCTTCCACTTGCTATAACTTCATATCCCTGATTTAAGAATCCTCACTATCACCCATGTGAATGAGGATATTGACATTACCTAATAATACACTAGCTATTTCCTACACTCTAGATTGAACATAGTTCATATGCACAAAACCCAAAACAGGACCCAATTTCACAATGCCACTTTATATGTATGAGCAGTCTCCCAATCTGTCCCCTCAACTAGCTATTACAGCTTGCCACACTTAAATAGTTAAAAAAATAAAAAATTAGTGTTTTTAGAGTGGAGATCATATTAGTCACACCATATATTAGGGAAACAAATGCATTATTTCTTTCTCCTTTTAAATTTCTTTTTTCCTGTTTTCCTTAATAACAAAATAAGGAAAAGCATTGCTTTAAGACTCTCTGTGTTATTAATCATAGCGTATTATATAGTAGCCATTTGTCAGATACATTTATATGCAAAAGTACAATTATTTCTTGTTTCTTTAATTAGTTATTTTAATTGACAAACAGAAATTGTTCACCTTTAATATGTACATGTTTTTAAATGTATGTACTTATTGGGAGTGGGATGGCTCAGTCAAGCTAAAACATATTCATTAAAGTATAATTATTTCTAATTGCCACTCAAAACATTTGGCCTTTAGACTTTCGGTCACTAAATTAAAACATTTCCATCAATAAAATAGAGGTTTATGATTTTAAGAAAAAAATGACAAAGTAGTAAAATATGGAAAAACATATATATAGCCAAAGGAATAAATAAAATGTTCATTTAGCTAAATATCCTCAATATTATATATTTTAGTAGATGAACTCATAAACTGACCGGAGTGGAAAGAGAAAAAACTGTGTTTTTTTTAACTGTTTATGCAAATGACTGCCTAGTGACTTAATTAAGATCCTATACAACCAGTGAGAGAAACATGTAGCTTCTGTATTCTAAGTCCTGGGGACACTGAAATGATCTTCGAAAATGCACCAGGAATAAAACAGGTAGTGATTGGTGTTAAGTGTAATACTGCAACAGAAAACTACATGTAACACAAGTGGGAACTCATTCTCAATAAGAAACACAGAGTTATAGAGAAGACGTAGGTGTGAATCACTCTGTTATCATAGAAACTATAGCAATTTTCATCTATCACAAAACTAAAATGAAATAACTAATCAGAACTAAAGTACTGTAAATAGTATAAATATCATACATGAAAATATTTGGAAATGATTCAACACATATAATCACTAAAGAGAAGGCACAGAATTCTGATGCTAATTATATTACATAGCATCTAATATGGTGGGATATGTGTCAAAACTATGAAGCTCCATATTACATTAGATTTGGCACATTTATATAACTTTCTCAGTTAATAAAACACTATGGTAAGATCCCAACTTATTTTGAATATGTTACTTTAATAAAAATTGATAGCATAAGACCAGTACTTCAACTATTGGCTCATTATTTTTTACTAAAGTAACACTAGGCATGAATCTCATCAAAATGTTTAATTCTGAAGATGTGTAATTTTTAATTAGCTTCTGCTTCCTAAAGACTAAGTGTCTAGAAAAATGATTTTCATTCCTGTAGCATTCAATGACACCGTTAAATTTTTTTAAACCACAATAATTTAGGCTTAGCAGGAAAGGTGACATACTTTTGGGGAATCGAGGTGGATTGTCATTGACATCTGTGAGAGTGATGTTGACTATTGTTGTTCCGGCTAATCCTCCAAGCTGTCCTCCCATATCCTTGGCTTGGATGAGAACTTGATATTGTTCTTTGACTTCTCTGTCCATGTTTGGCAAAGCTGTTCTAATGACACCTTAAGAGATAAAAGCAATAATATAAAGTAAATATCACAAATGCTGTGTTTCTGAAATAAAATAATCTGCAACAACATGATTCTACCTAGAATCACTAACAGAGACATAATAGCTATAATTATATCTTTTAAAAAGTGAGACACTCAAAATGTCCAACGGTTAGGAAATAATTTAAAATATTATAGTAGCTACATAATAAAATGCCATGCCACAATGAGAAATATGGTTAAAGAACAATGTATCACCTCTGAGAAATAGTCATCATTCATAAGTAAACCAAGTTAGACACGATTTATATGCATGATCCTATCTTTAAGAAGAAGAAATCATTAAAAATTAGAGAGAAAAATATAAATGCTAAAATTACCAAGTGGTTAAAATGAGTATGCAATTTCCAATTATTACTACTTTCTTCTTTGTTCTTCTGTTTATTTTCTAGGATAAAAATACTAATTTCTTTTCTAAAAATGCGTTCAATAACTTGGTTACATATTTTGTTTTGTCTTTCAGAATTCCCGTTAGTTATTTTAGCAACAGATATTTCACTAAGTTTCTCCAGCTTCCAGGACAGTGCTTGCCATTTACAAGGAACACAGTGAGTATATGCAAACCAATTAACTGAATGAGTGACAGGCTGAGTGAATGAATCTCTAAATAATTAAATTTACAAGTGTGAACTTTATAGTACATGTGCATATTTACATACTGTCCTCATTTCCTGTCCTGGTGTCCAAGTGTAAAGGTAGTTTATATTCCTATTTATTCATAGTAAAAGAACCAAAACCTCCTGGATTATTCTCAAATAAAATCATGAATAAATTTCATACCAAATTCCAATCTTCAGTCAATGGTTTTAGGGAGAGATTGGACAGCATTTGTTTTAAACACAGCTGGCTTTAATAGTGTTGTTTCTTTCTTTAAGAAACATGCTACTTTCTTTAAATAGCATATATAAATAACAAATATAATATCAACAAAAATAAATCAACCATCAACAAACATGCAGAATCCAAATCATAAAACCAACATACATCCCTGTATTTTCCACTCTCTACTTAACAAACGCTTATTCAAATTTTACAGTCTGAGATTTCTTCTGACTATTGGCAGGAAATTGTTGCAAAAAAAGACAGCCTTCATTTGTGATGCTGCTACTTTATTTATCAATAGGTACTGACACTTTTTTTTTTTTTTTTTTAAGAGGGAGTGTCTCTCTTGTTGCCCAGGCTGGAGTGTAATGGTGCAATCTGAGATCACTGCAACCTCCACCTCCTGGATTCGAGAGATTCTCCTGCCTCAGCCTCCCAAGTAGCTGGGATTACAGGCATGTGCCACCACACCTGGCTTATTTTGTATTTTTAGTAGAGATGGGGTGACACCTTTTTAATCCAATGTGTTTGCCCTTTCTTCAGCCCAGGCTCCTGATGCTCCATTTCCAAGTCTCTTAACTAAGATTCTTCATCTCTGCCTATGAGTGTTCTGGTTCTACAGACCTTAAGTTATGTGACTTCTGCCTGACTTACAATGCTTACATTTTCTAGATAGATACCTGGGTTTGATTCATCTGCATTATGTCTTGTCCTGTTGTTGACCGAGTCTATCTTAATTCATTTTCAATAAGAAAGTTATGTATATCTTTCTTAATTTATTTCTAGCATAAAAATTTCCAATATGAAAATTATTTCTATCACTATTCATCAATGTATTTCCATATCTATTTATCTACCTATCTATCTATCTTTCTATCTATCTATCTGGACAGAGAGACAGAATTGTGGAGTTGTTCCTTTCTGGTTATCTGCTGACCTAAATAAAAAAACTATATACTGGGATCCAGTTTGATTAAAACATTAAGATGCAAAGTTCTTCTTTTCCCAAGATTATGCCATCAATTTTTGCTTAATATATTGAGAAATTAATAAACAACAGAGTAGCTATGAAAAGAATGACTTCTTGAAAACATTCTTCTCCTGCATTAAGATAAACTGCAATGTTTAAAGATTCTTATGTTAAATTTGGAGTTTGGTTTAGCACCCAGATTCCAGCTCCAAAAAAAATATACACATAACTACACTATTTTTCCTCTGGAACAGCGGTATTTAAATGGAAGTGGTGCTGGGGCAGGGGAAGCACACCCTGGTCATCACTAGAAATTGACTTTCAAACTACATGTGCAATCCTTTCCTCTGTCTGAGTTCTACCTACCATCCAGTTGGTAGCATTACACTAATAGCAGGGCTAGAAGCAGTAGAGAGGTCACTCATAAGACACAGGGTAGAGTAGGAGGGCAGGGCTGTGAGTGTGATGCAAAAGGTCTTGACAATTTTTATGAAACACTGGAAAAAATACGTATCTATTCTTAACTCTGATAACACCTATTTTGTCTCTGTTCAATTGCATCTTAATGTTTTAATCTAACTGGATCCCAGTAGATAGCTTTTTATATAGGTTTGCAAATAACCAGAAAAAATACAATTCCACAATTCTCTCTGTCCAGATAAATAGACAGTTATAGAAATAGATAGATGGATAATGATATAGTGACAGACATTCTGCTAGCATCTATTTGGTGACAGTCACAAATGCAACTACAGTTTCGAAGACTATCTTCCATAATTCCAAACTTCTTTCAAATGTTCTGCTGTATCTTAATATAAGTTAATTCTTATTATTACCTGAGACTACTGAGATAGATAGATAGATAGATAGATTAGATTAGATTAGACTAGATTAGATTAGATTGATATGCTTTTTAAATTCATTTTCAGGAGCATAGCGACTATATGAATAATGGAAAGCCTGACTTATCTAAGGTATAGATGACAGAAGTAATGTCAGCATTGATAACCTGAAACTTAGTCTAGGATCCATCATACCATTTCACATGAATAAATATATTTAAAGATGGCGTTTATTCAAAGAAATGACAAGTTGGTAGGGGATCATTTGAATAATGCAATTCTCAGAATTATTATGTTACCTAGCCCCTATAAATAGAGTAAGAATTGTGAGACTCCAACAAGAAGTGCCTTCATTCCAATCATCCACTCCTAATGGTCAAAGCTTGTGAGAAGATGCCACTTGAAGTGCACACATTGGAGTGCTTAGGCTCCAGCTATTCCACTCTCTCCAGGTCCACTGAGCCCCTAAACTTCTCCAAACTTCTTGTCCTCATTCTCTCAGTTCCCCAATGAATGCCTGCCCAGTTAGTGGACATCTTTCTGGTTTCTTCCACTTTAGTCTTTTTTTTTTTTTCTTATGAAGCCTTTTCTGACACACAGCATGGCTTCAGGAAGAAATGACTGTACCCACCCTAAGATTCAATCATAGCGTGTAGAATGTTTTAGTGCATTTTTTGATTTGTTGCCTGTTTACCTTTCTTTACCAGACTGAAAGCCACTTTAGGACAGAGAGAAGTCCTTTCATTTGCTTTTCTGTTTCTGGCATCTAGTTAATGTCTGGCTCAGATTGATAAAGGACATAGAAAGAAATTATTTAGGCAGATAGTAAGAGTAAAAGAGTCCTTGGTAAAATTTCCCTTTTAATAAAAAGCGGCGTCCAAATCATTTCTTTTCTAACAAAGAGCAGCCTGAAAAACTGAACTGCAGACGTAGATAAGCAAGCTGGAAGCTTGCTCCAGGGAATGCCAGCAGCTGTGCGGAGAGAAAAGGGCTGCCTGGGAGCCAGGCATGTTCAACATGGAGGCTCTGTCTTCCCTTTTCTTCGTCACCACATGCACAGCAAAGAACTAGGCAACGTGACACTAGCCAGGTAGAGAACCCGTCTCAATAAGAGATTAGGGTGGGGTGGCCAGATTTTCACACGCTGTGCAAATGACACACCTAGCCCTAACCAGTTTTTCATACCTTATGCAAACAGTACACCTGGTCTGACCAATCTTTCGTGTCCTGTGTAAATCAGACATCACCTCCTCAAGCTTATCTATAAAACCTGCTGCATTTCACCACAAAAGCAGAAACCCATTCGGGTCCCCCCTCTCTGCAGGGGATCCTTTCTCTTTCTTTTGCCTATTAAGCCTCCATTCTTAACCTCACTCCTTGTGTATCTGAATCCTTGATTTCCTCAGCATGGGAAAAGGAACCTTGGGAATTATCCCAGAGAATGATGCCACTTCAAGAGTATATCTGGTTTTCTGTTTCTCTGTTCTTAATACAGCTCTGTTACTTTTTCCACCTATATGTACTATAATTTTTTAGTTCACTGTAAATTTATTATTTTGTGATATCTTTTCTTTTTTCTTCTACTCTCTGTGAATCATAATCCAAATATAGATTTTCTTCTCATTTTTTTCCTGTAGTTTTCCCCCATCTTCTACCCATGCCCTGAAAAATTCATTTCATTGATTTCTTTTACCCTATAGCTATTTATTTTGCAAAAGAAGAAGTTTGTTTTCTTGAAAAAAGTTGTTGTCTATTTTCAACTTATCACTTTTTTACTTTGGAGCTAAATATCTGGGGAGGCAAGTCCAGACATTATCTTAATCATTCTGAATAATGTCATGAAATAAGAAAATGGCTTTTTGTAGATAGCATATGAGAAAAAGTTTTTTTGCTTTTCTCCAAATTCTAGAGATTTAGACCAGCACTGTACGAACTTAGGGGACTGGCAGATGAACAATGGGTAAATGGCTTTATTCTCCTCTCAATGAGGTTTATAGTTCAAAGGAGACTTAGGCCACCAGTCTGCTGTCCCTAGAGCAGCCATGATGGTGAGGTCAGAGCGTAAGCCAGGTCACAGAGCTCCTCCACTCTGAAGTCATCACAGACTGTCCACATCTTTCAGAATAAAGCCCTCACATAATCTTCACTTGCCTGCTGAACTCTGATCTTCTTTTCCACAACTCCTTCCCTCATTCACGGCAGGCTTGCACACTGTCTTCCCGGGCCAGAAATGTTCTTTCCAAGGGGTGCTCGTTTATAGTTCTTCCACTTCCTTTAGATCTTTTTTAAAAGTCATCTTCACAGGACTGTGTTGGCCA